GCACATCTCACTTTGGGCTTTGACCATGACCGTAGCCTAGGTCAGACCTCCCTGTCTCCAGTCTCTCTTGCCCAGTCTGTTCCACAGCTCACTGTCAGATTTGTCTTGGCTTCATACAGGCCTGTGCATGTCGAGTCCCACATCAGAAGCATTCCACGGCTTCCTGGTGAAACATCTGAAAGCTTCAACCCGACGACATTCAAGGCCTCTGCTGTTGGTCCCCAACTCAACTTTCTGGCCTAATTCCCTTTCCAGGAACTTCCCTCTCCTGATGAATCGGGTTCCACACTGACCTGCCAATCCTCGTTCCCTACCCGCTCCATCTTTTCATCAATGTGCAGTCCAGGGACTTCCCTGCTGGTCCGGTGGTAAAGAATCCGCTTTACAGTGCAGGGGACGCCAATTTGATCCCTGGTCAGGGAACTAAGATCCCACATGCCGCGGGGCAACTAAGCCCGTGCGTGCCACCAACTACAGAGCCCACGCACTCTGGAGACTGCGCGCCACAACTAGAGAGAGAATAAAAAAAAAAAACCTGCACGCCACAACTAGAGAGACACCCGTGCTCCACAAAGAAGGGCCCGTGCGCCACAACTAAAGACCCGATGCAGCCAAAGATAATAATAATAAACGTGCAGTCCAAATCCCACTTCCAGGTAAGGCCTGCCCTGCCCTCTCAGCCACAGGTGGCTGCTCACGTTAAACTTTTACTGTTCCGAAGAGGACTGCTGCGAGTCCAGGAGGAAGGGTTGAGGGAAGGATAGCTGAGTTCAGGCCAGTTAAAGAGCCTGTGCTTGCCCCCTTGGATATCACTCGTGGTCACTCAGGGGACCTTGTGTGTGCCTCCCCTTGAGCTAACTCCATCCCAGAGGAGCTGAGGGGATGACCCTTTGGTGTCATCTCCTCTTCAGGCCTCTCCATTCTCTGATTTCACTCTCTGGTTTCATCACGTGGCGGTGCTAGTTGCCTTTCTCTTCACAGACAGTCCTGGGACCCCTGGCTGTCTCATTTAAATGCTTGGGTCAAAGGTTACGTCAGAGTCTTGTGGATTCCTGGACACTGGGCTGCTCTTAGCTCACTGGGAATCTTAAGCAAGTACCAGGAAGGGCTTCCCCGGGAGGTGCATTCATGGCACATTCTACTTATCTTCAGATGGGGTGTCCCAGCCTGGCCTGTCAATGCCAGGGCACCCCATGTCTTCTTAGAAAACCCAAGTCTTCCGTTGCATTTGAGGTTAAGCCTCGGTTGGTTTCAGCCATCTTTGGTTACACACACACAGAGCTTCGAGTATCCATAATACTTTTGATCATTCATTCCAGACTTTGTAATTGCCTTGACTATATAAAAAAAGGCCTTTACAGCACTGTAACAATGAATAGCATGCAATTACTTTTTCGGCAATTGATTATGCATGACTTAAGAAACCATAGATTTGTAAGTTTCGTTTATCCCTGAGAGAATGCCAGAACAATTAGCTACACATTAGATTGTCATCCCTTAGAACAGGGTCTGCAGCCTGTTGCGAACCGGGCCGCACGTTAGGAGGTGAGTGGCAGGAGAGCGAGCGAAGCTTCAGCTGCCGCTCCCCATGGCTCCCCGTCGCTCGCATTACTGCCTGAACCAACTTCCACCACCCCATCCGTGGAAAAATTGTCTTCCACACAACCGGTCCCTGGTGCCAGAAAAGCTGGGGATGGCTGACTTAGAATGTAGATTGGAAACAAAAAGAATTTAAATATCACCACTACTCACCTATTAGAATGGCCAAAATACAGAACAAGACGATGCCAAATGCTGGTGAGGATGCGTAGCAGCAGAAGTTCGCATTCATCGCTGGGGGGAATGCAAAATGTACAACACTTGGAAGACAAGTTGACAGTTTCTGGATTTTCGTTACAGGGAATTGCTCCATGTGTAGCTGTATATTTGGCGTGTCCATGAGAGGAGGGAAATCCAGGAGCCTTCTATGTCCTTATCTTGGTGACATTGTGCATTAGCTTTTTTTAAGAGCATTATGCTCATTCATTAGTGGTCTCGTGTCATCACCAGGCATTACCAACCCTAGATCTGTGATCTTCAAAATAACATATTCAGGATAAAGATAAAAATTAAGCAGGACTAAATAACTTATATCATCCAAAAAAAAAAGAATTTAAATTGGAATATTTTTTAAGTTTAAAAAAAAAGAGAAAATACTGGTCCTTGGAGCCAGTGTGAGCTTTTCTTCTTTTTTATTTTTTGGCCACGCACCATGTGGGATCTTTGTTCCCCAACCGGGGCTTGAACCTGCACCCCCTGCATTGGAAGCACAGCATCTTAACTACTGGACCACCAGGGAAGTCCCATAAGCCAGTGTAAATTTACTAGGAATAAGTCGTGCCAAACTAATTTCATATTCTTTCTTTGTAGAGTCACCAGGCTGATAGATGAGAGAACTCCTAAAGAGATGAGTCAAAGAATGCTAGGTGAACTGCATTGGTTTCCACTGGCAAATAATGAAGCCCCTCATAGCAGCTGGGATAGTCATTAGCGCTGTGCACAAAGATTCTATCTATGTCTCCTCCTCTCACTCACATAGTGGAGCCGAATCCGGCCTCTGTATCCCGACACCGAATTAAATCTTGGAGACAGAGTTTTGGGTGAAGTAGAAAAGAATAGCTTTATTGCTTTGCCAGGCAAAGGGGGCCACAGAGGGCTAGGGCCCCATTCTTCTGATTGGTTGGTGGTGAGGTAAGTGGGAGTCAGCATCATCAACCTTCTGGTTCCAACTGGTCTGGTGTCTAGTGCTTATGGGCGGTGTACCATCATTAACCTTTAACTTCTCCCACCTGGGGAGGTTCAGTATCTGCAAAACAGCTCAAAGATATTGTTGTCTGTATCCCTTGACGGGGAACCAGGACGTTGCCCCAAGGCTGCACTATTGTTCCTCCCCTGTCTCCGCATCCCCTCCCTTCCCTAATTAGCAACTATTTGAACCTGCTCAAGAAACTCAGGGAAGGTATAGAGGCTGAATGAAGCCTATTTCCTGTAATCAAGAAATGGTGGGGGGCGGGGCTGGGCGGGCTTCCCTGGTGGCGCTGTGGTTGAGAGTCTGCCTGCCAATGCAGGGAACACGGGTTCGTGCCCCGGTCCGGGAGGATTCCCACATGCTGCGGAGCAGCTAGGCCTGTGAGCCATGGCCACTGAGCCTGCGCGTCTGGAGCCTGTGCTCCACAACAGTGAGAGGGAGGCCTGCGTACCATTAAAAAAAAAAAAAAAAGAAAAAGAAAATATTTAAATACCTATTACCATACAATGTAAGTTAAAACTATACTTTTTTGGTAGAGTTTCATCATAAAATTCAGTTTCTGCCTATTCACTTCTTAATAAAAAGGACAAAGAGTTTTCCTGAAATAGTGAAAGTTTGCTATCATAGTTCTAAGAGTCATTGACTTACAAAACCTTGAGACCCGGGACTTCCCTGGTGGTCCAATGGTTAAGAATCCGCTTTCCAACGCAGGGGACGCAGGTTCAATCCCTGGTAGGGGAACTAAGATCTCACATGCCGCGGGGCAACTATGCCCATGTGCTGCAACTACTGAGCCCACTCGGGCCACAAGTTGAGAGCCCATGCTCCGCAACAAAAGCTCCTGTGTGCTGCAACTAAGACCCGACCAGGCAAATTAATTAATTAAAATTAAAAAACAAAGAAACCTTGAGACCACAATATGTCTGTTCCAGTAACATTTACCAGGATGTTTGTTGTAGAAAACTGAGTTTGTTCACATATAGTTGCAAATTCTATTTGAATAGGCCTTTGATCTTATCCACTGGTCCAGGTGACAGTGAGCTTCCCTTGACCTCATTGATCTCATTCTCATTTATTCAACTTACATAGGAAGACTGTTCAGATTTTCTTAAAATTAGGAAAACAGTGAAAGGCATGGTCCTTTTTGTAAAATGTAAGACTGATGACAATAGATGAAATTTAAAATACAATGCAGAATTGAAATTGGTCACAGTGTTACTGAACCAAACTTGGGTCCACTCGCCCTCATGTAGTAAAGTCAATCTACTGACACCAGGTTGCGGTGAAGGAAAGTGTAGCGTTTATTGTAAGGTGTCAAGCAAGGAGAATGGGTGGCTCATGCTCAAACCCCCTAAACTCCCTGAAGGGTTTCAGCAAAGCATTTTTAAAGGCCAGGTGAGGGAGGGGTCTCCCAGGGTCTGTGATCAGCTTGTGCACAATTGTCTGATTGGCTGATGGTGAGGTAACAGGGTGGTATCACAGGGGTTAACATTATCAACCCTTAGGCACCAGTAGGTCCAGGCCTAAGTGCTCATGGTCATCAATTAGTTAATTTCTTCCATCTGATTGGGGTTTTAGCATCTGTAAAGCAACTCTGAAAATGTGCATCAGATACTATTATCTAGGAACTTCAGAGAGGAGCTACAGTAGAGGATATGGGGGAGGGGTCTGTCCCAGGAAGGCCCAATAGGGTCCTGCTTGGTTACAACAACAGGCTCTGCCATGTCAGACGGAAGTGGCCCTCTGGCCACTTCCCAGGGGTTCCCTGGTCTTCCCAGTGGCAGCAGGACGTCTGCCTCAGCTCTGCACCCTCGCAGGACCATGCACAGCAGGAAGGGAAGGACGAGGACAGCCCTGCTCCGTATATGGAAAACATGGATCTTCCCAGAAGCCACTTACTTATCATTGTCCGCCAGGGTCAAGAGCAAAGGGAGTGGGGTTACTCTTGGCTTAGACTAATCAGAGGCTGGGTGTACTGCAGCCTGGTTGAAAGTGGGGCTCTCTTAGTAAGGGAAGCAGGGGCCGAGGGTACACAGCCCTGGCCCCCTTCTGGGGGCCCACAGTAGAAGACACAAAATGCGCAGAAAATGGCTGTGAAAGGATTCCATTTTTACAATGCAATAAATATCAAACAACTTTGCTGGGGAGTAAGGAGCCTCGTAGAGATGGAGCCACCCAGGATTCTTATCATGGGACTTGGGTTTGTCCACAGGCAGGCTTCGAACAGAGACCTTCTCAAAGCGCTTCTGAGGGTGCCTAGCAGGGAGGTCGCTCCCCCAGAGCACAGATGCCTCACCTTCTCCCTGTGACTCCACCCCCAGGGACTCGACTGCCTTCTTGGCTGGACTCATGGGACCTCCAGGAAGATGCTGAGGAAGTGGAAAGGCCAGCGCCCTCTGGGTGGGTCTCCTGGGAAGGCCTGTGAGGGGCCTGGGAAATGATCACAGGCTTTATCCAGCCTTGGGAAACTCACTGGAGGCCAGGTCCTGGTTGGGAGCTGGGTCCTGGGCCCCCCTTGGGCCCTAAGAAGAGCTGGGCTCAGCTTCCTTCTCTCCCAGCAGTAACTACATGAGACAGTGGCCACAGTGAGGAGACAGAACCCGGAGTGAACCAGCTGCAGGAAGTCCTGGCTTTGTTCTCGAGGCTGTGAGGCCCAGAGAGCAGGCACTGGTGCTAGCTCTTTGCTGTCCGGTGTGGCTCCAGCAGTCCCTCCTGATATGGTCTCCTCTCCTCAGCCCTGTGCTCCCCACTTCGACTGCAGGCAAACAGGGGGATGCACTGGCCTAAACACGCCCACCCAGCCCTGCACCTGCTCACCTGCCTTCCCCAGCCAACGAGATGGGGGCACAGCCTCTGGCCTTCCCAACACACGGTCCAGGGTGGTCCTGCTGCTGACACACGCCACGAGCTCCTCACGGGCTGGAGCACGTTTCACAAGGCTAAGCACGGTGCTAGCTGAGAACTAATGCTCAGTGGGGAGAGGCCACAGCAGACAGAGCAGGAGAAGGGCCAGGGCAGTGGGTCCATCTGCAGCCCTCAAGGGGCTCAAGCACATAGCACATGGCAGGGTTAGCACAGCTGAGCCTGGGAACAGGGGTGACAGGCAGGGGAGAGGCAGCCCTCCAACACACACACACTGACACATGCTCACAATTACATGAGCTGCGTTCTAACAGGTATACTGGAGACTTGAATCCATTTCTCCTTTAACCATGGCACCCTCTCCCCATCACATACACCCTTACCTGCTCTCGATTTCCTGTGTCACAGCAATGGCTAACACATGCCCCTTGTCTCCCATCAGAAGACAAATCAATCCCTCCCTTGCTCTACCGGGCTTGGAGACCACAGAATGTATTTGCCTCTCATTCAAAGTGACGTCAGCCAGAGGATGGGGTTGGCAGGGCTGGGATAAGTAGAGGTGCAGGGGTGGTGGGGCAGCAGGAAGGGCAAAGACCTCAGCAGCTCTAGGAGCCACCTTGGCAGCAAGAGCCACCTTGTGATCTGGACAGACCCTGGTCCAGGCATCCATGTAGCCTCTAGGAAAAATGTAGCATCTCCAGTAGAGATCTAGCATCTCCAGTATGGGGTAAGAGAGAGAGGGGTGAACACTTTCAAGGAGATTTCCAAGCATCTTTGATCGTTCCGACCTACCTCACAGTTGGCTGTGAAACTTCAATGAGATCATGGATGTGAAATGCGCTTTGAGACAACTACTCGTTGACTCATTCATCGAAAATGTGTTGAGAGCCTAGAATGTGTCAGGCATTGTGCTTGAGCCAAGAGAGAGGGTAGAAAAGATAAACACATAAAACAGAGAAAGAAAATAAACAGTACATGAGCCACCACAATCCCTCCTTTCTAAGCCGCAGGCAGACATGACTAATCAAGCATAGCTCTCTTTATCACAGAACCTGGGAAGGACCTCAGAATTCTTCTCAACACAGTTCTCTAGGCAGCTACTCCTAATTGAATGTTATGGATTGAATATTTGTTTCCCTCCCAAATTCATATGTTGAAGCCCTAACCTCCAGGGTGGCTATATTTAGAGATCAAGCCCCTACGGAACAATTATGATTAAATGCAGTCTTAAGGGTGGGGTCCTGATCTTATAAGATTAGTGTCCTTATAAGAAGAGATGCCAGAGAGCTCACTCCCTCTCTCCCTGTCCTCACACATCATATGAGCACATAGCAAGATGGCAGCTGCCTACAAGCCAAGAAAAGAAGCCTCAGGATGAAACCTACCTTGTAGGCACCTTGATCTTGGACTTCCAACCTCCAGAACTGTGAAAATAAATGTTTGTTGTTCCAACTACCCAGTCTGTGGTATTCTGTTATAGCAGCCTGAGCAGACCAAGACACTGAGTCGACATGAAGGATGATGTTTGTCATTCCTGGGGCAGAGACATGGAGGTATTGATAGGCGAAGTTGGTATCAGAAACAGGGAGCAGCATGGTATGTCCAGGGCCCATGATGTTTAGAGAGGGGAGTGGACAGAGATGGGACTGGAGAGTGAGGCAGCCACCATAGCACATGTGGATGTGTAGGCCGTGCCAGGGCCTTGGGACTTACTCTAAAAGCATTGGGGAATGATCTTCAGGTCCACATTTAGAAAGATCAATCTGGGACTTCCCTGGTGGTGCAGTGGTTGGGAATCTGCCTGCCAATGGGTTCGTTCCCTGGCCTTGGGGGGTCCCACATGCCATGGAGTAGCTAAGCCTGCGAGCCACAACTACTGAGCCTGCATGCTGCAACTACTGAAACCCGTGTGCCTAGAGCCCGTGTTCTGCAACAAGAGAAGCGACCGCAATGAGAAGCCTGTGCACCGCAACAAAGAGTAGCCCCCACTCGCTGCAACTAGAGAAAGCCCGCACATAGCAACGAAGACCCAACGCAGCCAAAAATTAATTAATTAATTAATTTTAAAAAAAAAAGAAATCAATCTGACGACAATCCATCTATGTGCAGGCTTGATAGCAGGCAGGCAGGGATAGAGGTGGGAGGTCAGTAGGTAGCTGCCCCATGGATCAAGCCTGGGATGGACCTGAGCCATGTGAGAGGACAGGCTTGGTGACCAATTGGCTGCAGTTTAAGAGGAAGAGGTGAGGTGAGTCCCGGGTTTCAGGTTTGGACAATGGGTTGGATGGATGTCCCTCCCTTTGACAGGAATGTGATCTCCTATGGGGAGATCTCCTGTAGGCAGGCCCCAGGTTGAGAGCAGAAGTCACGGCAGCCACGTGCTATTGGTCAGAGTTAGGCTCAGGCCAGCCCAGATTCAATGTGGGTGGGGATTGCCCAAGAGTGTGAATACAGGGAGGTGTGATTCCTTGGAGCCACTGGGTAACAATCTTCCACCACATCCAAGTAACAGGCAGGAAGGAAGGGGAAGGACAAGGCCCAAAGCCAGAGGCACCTGCCACCTGGGCCTGTGGCCTTTTGGCGAGCTCTCCCTGAAGCCCTGCTCTGACTTCCTCTGGGCCAGAAAAGAACCAGGTCACGTGAACACCCTTAGCTGCAAGGGAGTCTGGGAAACTGAATGTTTTCACCTGCGCACATTGTCATCCCCTCAAAACCCTGAATTCTCAGGTAGGGAGAAGGGGAGCACGGCTTTGAGTAGGCCACTAGCAGAGTCTTCTGTGGAAGTCTCAGGGGGGTGGGGGTGGGGGGACTAACAATCACTGAACACCTTTATGGGAGAAAAGCCATGCTTAGTGCTTTACACAGAATTTGGTTCAGTAGGTCAAGGGTGGGGCCCAAGAATTTGCATCTCTAACCAGCGCCCAGGGGATGCCAAGGCTGCGGAAGCGAAACCATGCTTTGAGTGGCCCTGAGCTGGGTCACACTGAGGAAACAACAACTCCCAAATCTCAGAAGCTTAAGTGACAAAGTCTTATTTCTTACTCACGTGACCTGTCCACTGTGAGTTGCTGGGGCTTTGCTCCCAGGAACCAGGTGGCCAGACCAGAGGGAGAGAAGTCACCGCAAAGCATCTTCTGGTTCCTTCGAGTTGCATGGCTGTGCCCGATATCAGACCTCAGACAGGCAGGAAGAGCTGCTTTGGTGAGTGATCCTGTGGGCTACCCCAGGCTTCATAGAAGCAGTGGGATTTGAGCTGGCTGGGCTTTGAAGGATGAACAGGAGCTTACCCTGCAGAGAAGGGGGAGAACATTCCAGGCTGAGGAAACACCATAAATTAACTACCATTGATGGAGCACTGATTATGTGCTAGAAGCTTTCAGATCGCTTCCTTCTGAGCCCTCACAAGAACACCGAGATAGTATTGGTCCCTTTCATGAAAGAGGAGACTGCGAGTTTGAGATCAGGTCACAGCGCCAGAACATGGGAGTCCAGGAACTTGAACCCAACGTCCAGGGCTTTCTTACCCTTGTCACTGTGGTGTCAGGGAGGTTGTATGGCTGTGCAGAATGATCTGTGTGCTGCTGTTTCCTGGAAATTGTTTCCAACACCCAGAGGATTTGGGGGGTGGGGGCAGTGGGACTCATTAACGGACAGCAATTTTTATTGTGGTTAAATATACATGACATGAAATTTACCATTTTTAAGTGTACAGTTCAGTGGCATTAAGTACGTTCACATTGTTGGGCACCATCACCACCATCCACCTCTAGAGATTTCTCATCTTACAAAACCGAAACTCTGTACCCATTAAACAGAAACTCCCCAATACCCCTCCCACCAGCCTCTGGCAACCACCGTTCTACTTTCTGTCTCTGTGACGCTGACGACTCTATTCCATATAAGTGGAATCATACGGTATTTGTCCTTGTGTGTCTGGCTTATTTCACTTAGCATAATGCCTTCACTGTTCATCCATGTTGTACCATGTATTGAAACATCATTCCTTTTTATAGCTCAATAATATTCCATTGCATGCACGGACCCCATTTTGTTTATTCATTCATCCATTGATGGATATTTGGGTTGTCTCCACCTTTTGGCTATTGTGACTAATGCTGCTATGAACATGGGTATGCAAATATCTCTTGGAGTCCCTGCTCTGAATTCTTTTGTGTATATACCCAGAAGTGGGACTGCTGTGTCCAGAGGAATTTTTAACATGAAGGACTTTATGTGGGTCAGAGGTGCTGGTGGGCTTCTTTGGGGTCCAGGGGAAAATGCTGCCCACCAGCACTGTAGGAGGAGGCCCAAGACCCCCCAGGTTCCTCACTGCTCCCCGCTCCCCACCCCCAGGATGTCCTGGTTAGGCACCCCTCACCTGCTGCGGGGGGAGGTGGGGCTGCAGGAGCCCCGACCCACCACCCAGGTGCAGAAAGTCTCTCTGTCCAGTTATTTAACTGTTTATCAGGCATAGATCTTGCCCCCCTGGAGTTGGGAATTTCTCCAGGGAGAACAGCCCTTCCCCTCTCTAAGCCTCTCTTTTCCTGGCTATAAAACTGAGGTGCTGGTATTGGCCCGCCTACCTCACAGATTGTCAGGAGGTTCAAATAAACTAATGGACGTGAGGGACACGGAGATGCTGCTTCCTGCTGGAGACCCACCCCCCGCTCCCAGGCTGCCCTCCACGCACCCCTCTTGGTGGGTCAAACAGGGGCACTGCTGGGGTGACGGTCTGCAAAGGCTGAGGCTGCTTCCACAAGGCCGGAAGAGCCCCCGGGGCTGAAATAGCTAAAAAGAGGACAGCTCAGTAAGATCACTTCCTCAAGACAGTTCTGGGGCAGTGGTTTGCAAATTAGAACATGACTGAGAATCCCCCAGAGGGCTTGTTAACACAGAGAACGGACCCACCCCAGAGCTTCTGATTCTGGAAGGCTAGGGTGGGCCCCAGGAATCTGCTCTCCTACAAGTTCTGAGGCTGAAGAGGTGACGCTGAGGCTGCTGATCTGGGGACCGCATTCCGAGAACCACGGCTCTAGAAAATGGAGGAAAAAAGATGCTTATTTTGAAGACCACGGACACATGAGTTCCCTCCATCCCTCCTTTCCTCTCCCCTCCCTTTCTTGTTTCTTTCCTTCCGCCTTTGTCCAACATTTATTATTAGAGCACAGAGTCTGGCCTGGGTTGACCAGATGGTCCTTGGCTGCCCAGGGCCCGAGGCCTGTGCTTGTGACCAGATGCAGAGGAGTCTGTGTGAGTCAGGCTGCTGGGGGGAGGGAAAATACCATGTTCTGGGCGAGGGGCCAGGCAGCCTTCCAGGCCCTGCAAGAGCCCAGGGCACTGGGCAAGGCCGGGGCAGCCTTCCTCCGGGGTCAGGTGGTGCCCACACAGCAGGACGCTGGGTGAGGAGCTGGTCTTGGGAGAGGCACCTGATATGGTGCCGTGCCAGGCCCCGGAGCCCAGCCCTAAGGCGCTTGCCAGGCTAGGCCTTCCGAGGCAGGGCTGGAGGAATACCCTGGCGGTCCAGTGGTTAGGACTCCACGCTTCCACTGCAGGGGCACAGGTTCAATCCCTGGTTGGGGAACTAAGATCTCGTAGATTGAGGGCTGGCAGGCAGGCTGAGAGGTTCAGTGAGTAGGGGCAGAGGTCCACGGGCACTGGGGCAGACAGCCCTTGGCCCTTAGATGGCCAGGTTGTGACATTTTTCTTTGAAGGCTCCAGCGTCCTTGTGTCCCACCCCATGATGCATGGTGGACCCTGCAGTCCACCTTCCCAGAGACTCATCCATCAGGCTTCCCTGGACCTTCCCTCTCCTCCCTAATGGACCAGGGTCTCATTCCTCAGGGCCTCCTTTTCTATTTTCAAAGGAGATCACAAACCAATCCGATCAATGGAACCTAATATGGTCCCCTGTGTCCATCATCAGAACCCAACAAAAGCGCCAGGAGATGAACCGCAGAGGCTCTGCTCCAAAAGGGACACCAAACCTGGGCGTCTTCCCTGGAGTTTGATCTGACCCCATGGCATTGCTTTCACCTTCTCCAGACCTATTTCTTCAATCAAGAAATGGGGCCAATAGGATGAGTGCCGAAGGGCTGTGGGGATCGTACCAGCTAGTATCACGGGAATCCTGGGTAACTGGTACCTCTCTCCTCTGCAGCCAAGGGCTGGCCCCCAGGTTCTGAGATTCTTTCTGGTAACACACATGACATATTTCTCAAACTCTTCAAAATTTACCTCCGCTTTGATTGGGGCCATAGGTTGGGGTTCTTAGTTCCTTAAGGTGTCTGCTTGCTGTTTATTTGTTCCAGTTTCATCTCGTGAGCTGCCAGCTCCCCAGCCAGGCAAAGCACAGGACCCCCTCCCCGCACGTGGCTGTCCCGTCTGTACCTCTGCGAGGCGCACTCAGAAGGGGTGCTCTCCGGCC